ATTGTGGTCATTGATCGAGTGTATTGGCGATCAAACAGTGTAGATGGCACACCATGAATTTAGAATCAGCTTATGGAATTCACACTCACTCATTTATATGAAGTTTAAAATAAATAAATAAATAAAAATAGGTTAATTATACTAACACTTCTCATTTATAAACGCTATTTTTACTTTTTCAATTTTAAAAAATTATACAATTGCTCTTTTTAAGAGGAGAAGTGATATTTTATGATATTTGTATAGGTAGGTAGATATATTAGAGAGAGGGTTCATAAATAACAAATTGAAGAAGACAAATTATCTTTACTCCCTTCACCAAACCACCGCCCTTCTTCTCTATACAGAGGAGTGTTTGGTCTATCACTTTTATGCATTCTTGTCACTCTCATGCCTTGTCCAAGTGGTTGCATTTCTACCATACGTTGCACTTTTTAAGTAATTTTTTACTAATTTTTTATTTTTTAGTACAAAATATTTCTATATGTCAAAAATTGATATTAATTTATAATTTGAAATAATGGTGTGATAGAATAGCAAATTCAAGTGAGCCAACAGTAATTACGATTGAAAATAATAATGTTTAGTTATGTTATAGGATAATAATAGGCACCTGCTCTTTTTTCTACATTTTTATTAACAAAAATGCTAAGAAATTGAAAATGTATTTAAAAAATTACATTAAACAATTATATTTATTAATCACAATTAGTCTAAATGTAACTCAAATCCTATTAATTTTAAATTTACACTATCTATCTTATTTTCGAGAAAAAATTCAGAACACAATTTCATAATACATTAACATTTTACTTTTATTAATTCATGGGGATGTTATTCATATCAATGAAAGAAACAATATAAACTATAATCAAATTCAAAGAAACAAAAAAAAAAAAAGGTGCATGAAAAAAAACAAGTGATGTAAATTAGCTATATACATACAACCATTGTGGGCATGATCAGCTCTGTTTCGTAGTACAAGTACGAGCACGAAATGTGCATTTGAATATTTTCATAGTTTTCTCTCCTCCATGCTTCTCGCTTTATTTTCACTTTGTTTGGTATAAGTTTTGGATTGGATGGACTCTTGTAAGTGTCATTTGAATTTCTTGAATGAAATTTTCTTCCCATCAAGAAAAAGAAAAGAAAGAAGAAAAAACCTAACCTAACCTTGGGAGTTTGATTCAAAGACAGCAAAAGCTCAATTTGGATTTTGGACACTAAAAAGGTGAAAGGAGAAACATAACTTAAACCCCCATAACAAAAACTAAACAAAATATGAAATGAAACCACAGTTTTTGGTATAACACAATTTCAAGATGATGAGGCATAGTTGGTTTGGGCACCTCTTCCAGAGCTTATTGATGGCTTTGGTTGCCTTAATTCTTCCTACATCATTCATCATCATATACAAAATACATATATATAAATATATGGATCATATATTCAATTCAACAAACATATATTATATATTAAGAGAGAGAGAGAGAGAGAGAGAGAGAGAGAGAGAGAGAGAGGGGCAACAATGTTAATGATTTCATCATCATATACAATATATATATATATATATATATATGGATCATATATTCAATTCAACAAACATATATTATATATTAAGAGAGAGAGAGACAGAGAGAGAGAGAGAGGTTACAGTGTCAGTGGTGGTGTTCACATCCAGTCCTCTTTGTGTTCTGGAGGAGGAGTCCAAATCAAAGCACTTCATGAAAGCTTTGGTTATTTTTTGAAAAAAATAGCAGGGATTATCATAAGAATGATATGTTACTTCTCTTCTCCTCTGCACTTCTGCTGTGTTAAAGAGTCTGCAAATGATCAAGCTCAGCCATGATCATGCCTCCTCATCATCAGCACCTGCAACTGCTGTTGTCACACTGCTGTGGTCACCTTGCTTCAGTTAAACAGTTACAAATCAGTTAGATAAATAACAGAGTAGTTAGTTGGTTACACAGATTGTTAGTTAGTTACAGAATAAACTAGAGGTAGTTAGTTTGTTATGCATTGGTTAGCTTAAGCTTAAACCAGAGTTAGCTTATGTAGTTTATAAATATCTTCGTTCCTGTAATTCATTCATATTGAGAAATACAAACTATTTTACTTTCTGTGAGATATCTGTTTTTCTGTTATGCTGTACCCTCCATTTCTTCTTCTTCTCTCTCTCTCTCTCTCTCTCTCTCTTTCTCTCTCTGCAGGTTTTTTCTGCCTTTAATTATCTCACTAGCACCATTGCCCATGTATATACGCACACGTAATGTGGACTGCCATTTTGTTCACACTTGCACTTGATGATTGATAAAAAATAATAAAGGACTCAACACATATTTTCTGAATATGAGCCTGTTATTTTAGACCAATAAGAATTTGTATATTGGAACAAATTTATTTTTCATAATTAAAAATGTATGTTTTTATGCGTAGTTGAAAAATGTAAAATTAGTAAAAGACAAATCAAGTTATAAATAAGAGAATAACTATAATTTCAAGAAACAGTATTAAATTTCATGAACTTAAATTTATTAATGTCATGTCAAAATGTAAATAAAAATATATTTTAATCTTATTTTGCTATGCATCTTGTTCATTATACATGTCTATCTATCGCCACTTAAAATTTTACAAAGCCTAACTTTGGGGTAATTGGGAGAGATTTTCAATATCTACAATATCCTAAATGTCCCTACTCAATTGATTAATTTCTTGACCCAAAAACTTTGTTTTCAAAAACCATTGCTTCACATGTTCAATCGGTCCACAATTTTTTTTCTAAAACCAAAATCGAGTAGCTTTCAAAACAAACTAATGGAACTGTAAGAAGACGTGTGCTTCATCACCAAGGATCTTCTAGAGTGTTTTTTTCATAAAATTTCCTAAAGTAGTGTATTGTGTGGTTGAGATTTAACGCTGAAAAATTGATGTGACTTGTCATTAAATCTCAACCACACAATGCACCACTCTAGAAAACTTTAAGAAAAAAAAACTTTAGAGGATCCTTGCTCGTGCTTCATAGTCTTTCAGATTCTTGCCTTAAATATTTGTTACACAATAGTCATTATGAGAAACCTTCCCATATCATTTGAGGCCCTTCTAATCACTGGATCAACTTCATCACAAGGGCCAAATACATTACTAGAACTTTTATCATCATTCAATTAGTGTAGAAAATATCATTTGAGGCCTAATAGCAAGGGCTTTAAGAGAGAGAGTAGGAGATTTAATAAACTCGTAAAAACATTCGGGCCTTTAAAAGTAACTGTTATAGTAGTGGAAAATCCAAACACCATCAATTCCATTGTCCTAAAACAAAAAATAATAATCCATAATAGTGGGAGAACTTGTGTTCTCATATAGCATTTGAGTTTATTCTTATTCACATTTTTTATACATTTGTTGGCAAAAATTCAGTTTAAGCCCAATCGACAGTGATTAATCGACAGGTTTCAACTGATTTTAAATAAACACAAAAATGATCAGACTTTGTGGTTGAGTCTTATACCCAAGGTTTTAAAAAGTGGCCGAAACCGTTACGTAACGCCGTTACGTAATGGTTGTGGTGGTTACCGCTACCCGTTACGACCGCTTTTGCAGTGTGATTGAGATTCACAGGTGTGTCAGCAATAGCGGCTGTTGTAGCGGTCGTAATGGTGCCGTAATGGCCTGTTACGCACCGTTACGTAACGGTTCCAAACTACTTTCGAAAAAACACACAAAAAAAAAAAAAAACTGAAAATGGTGGAAGAGGGATAGAGAGAAGAGGGAAGATAAAGAGAGAAGATGGAGGAGTAAGAGATAGAGAGAGAAGAGGAAAGATAAAGAACATATTATTAATTTGTTAAAACTATTCAGCTGCTATCACTCAACCATTTTGTTTATATACGTCTATCTATATATTATTTGAAAATAATAATATTAATAAGTGTGGTTATTATCTATTTGGCTTAGTTAAAATATGTATATATATATATATATGTATTTAGGCTCTTATTTATTCTCTTACTTTTGTCATTGTTTATCTAATATATAATAGTTAGTGATTAATTTTTTGTATAATATAAAATCATTAATTATTAAAATAAAATGTAAAAAACTGAGTTTATAGTGATTTAAAAATATGATTACAAAAATTGATCAATATTTATTTTAAACCCAATAAATATGATCATGGAAAAAAAATATACGTATCGGTAAGTTTTTTTCAAATTGTGTAAAAAATAAAAAAATTTACGATTTCGGTTACTGCAACTGTTATGCTACGGCCTTTACACCCCGCAACTGCAACCGTGCCACCGCCACCGTTACGGCAACCACAATCGCTTTTCAGAACCTTGTCTATAACTTAAATAGATTAAATTCTTCTCTGGAAGTAATTATCGATATCTCATGTTTGATAGGAACCATTTTGCAGATTTGGTGCTTGATTTGATCTTGGCTCTTTGATCTCAGCAACTAACTTTCAAATTGTTACAATTGTTAACTTTCTGGTCCTCTATTTAACATATCATCATGCCACATCCTTAATACAATTGTCATGCCACGTTAGCATGTCTGTCGGTAGAAATAATAACAATAAAAACAAATGTAGTCAAAGTTATTCTTTGAAAATAGTTTATGATTTCAATTGACAGACCATAATTGAACTTGGTCATAATTAATAGGCCACAATCGACAGAAAAATAAAAAGTGGTGCAAACAACATTACATGGCCCTTTTTTTTTTTTTTTTTTGACCATCACATTCTTAGATGGCCCTTTTTTTTTTTTTTTTTTTATCGGCGAAAGTTAGTTGTTACTTGTTAGTTTAGCACCTATAAAAATTAACCTCACCAAATATTTGCCTCTTAATTCAACTCCCTTAGGAGAGTTGAACCTCTCCCTTAAAACTTAGCCCTTAAGAGTCAGGTGACCTTCCTAGCAGCTAATTTTGTCTATATGTATTATATTTGATCTCCTTCATAAAGGCCAAAAGCAAAATCAAAGGGCGAAAAATGAATAATAAGAAGAAAGGAAGAGAGCATTGTATTGAAATGTACACATATGACAAGGAAAAGAATGCATTAGTAGCTCTTCTTTATTTGGTGTCCTAAGATAATAACCCTACAATATTCCTCTCCCTATTCTTCTTTCCTCACTAATATTATAAATATCTACAAACACTACACCTCATAAATTACCTGAAAGATCATACTCTAACAAAGAAAATGCTCAATTCAGGTCCACTGTTCCCATCAGGGCTACACATGTAGAAGGTCTCTGAGTCCTTGGAGCCAACGACGCGTTCAAAATGGGCTCGCATGTATGCCAACTCGCTATCCGGTCCATCCAAGTCAGATTTTCCAGGCAAGACGCCTGCACCCATTGAGGTGGCCTTGAGGAGCTCCATGATCTGTAGATCCTCTTCTGAGGCCTCTCTCTTGACGCCATAACCCGTCTTCTTCCCATTACAGAACATGGTCCATAATTGCTCATCTAAGAGCTTGGTCTTGTCTTTATCCCCCCTCTTTTCACATTCCAGGGCTATTCTTACCATCCCCAAACTCATTTCCTTTTGTAACACGTTTGTTTGCATGGCCAACTCCACCACCAACGTGGGAAAGGTCCTTGGGTTTTCCTGTATGGACAGGCTTACCCTTCCTTTACGGTATCCAAACAATGTACCAGTTATGCGATTCGCCGAAGCATTCCGGCTGATATCTGGTAAAACTCCACCGGGGAGCGATGGCAGCTTGCAAACAGGTGTTATGATGGGAAAAGATCGGAAAACAGATCGAAAAACTCGAAACACTTTGACAGGTTTGTGTTTCTTCTTGTTGGAAGGCTGGACAAGGGACAATGGCTGGCTTGGTAGTGGTGGTGGAGGAGGCGCTGATGATGTTGCAACGCTGGTGCTACGTTTCGGCTCCCCCATTACTGGACCTTCATAACCAGCAATGGGATATTTCCATGAGAGAGAGAGAGAGAGAGAGAGAGGGAGAGACAAGGCTGGGTTGTTGGGTAGGCGTGGGTTTAAAGTTGGGGGTTTGGGCTGGCTCTCCTACCCTCAAATTGTGGCTGTAAAATTAGAGACTCATTTTGGCTAGGTCTTCGGACCCTGAAATTGTGGAACTCAGGACATCTATTTTGGGCTCTTCTTGTGTTGTGCATCACATGATTGCATTACATTGAATTATTGATTTTCCTGCTATATAAATTATTATTAGTAGTTTTGTAAATTTTCTCCTCTCTCCACTTGTTCCTACCCTAACTTAGCTTTTGAGTTTTGAGTCATGTTGCAGTTAAAATCAAGGGTAAATTACATTTACCTCCCCTGAGGTTTCTGACAAATACATATTTGTCAGAAACCTCAGGGGAGGTAAATGTAATTTACCCTAAAATCAATTATTATTACATATCAAGAATTTTTTCTTAAACATAGATTGCACAATATAGTAATCAATTTTCAACCACACATTCACATTTTGAATAGAATTTTTGACACGTTTTTTAGGTAAATAGTTGAGCACAACTAGTCAGACTAATTAAATCAATATTTTTTATTGTTTCTTTTCTGTGAGATAGAAAGGAGAATGTGACAAACAAGTCAAAAACATGATCGTAAGTACTACACATGGACCACACCACACCACCCCACCCCATACCACAAAACATTTTTTCAATAGATGTTTGTTTATGATCTCAGTGTTACATGAGATAATAGACAAAATATGATTATCCTAACATTATTGCTTTTCATAACTAAGCTAAAATGACCATATTTTCTTATCATAATTTGTTTACTACCTTAGGGGTCAACATTGTATTTATTTAATAGGTGTGTGCCCCTTTGGGAACTGAGAAGTGTTGTGCCCATTTGGATTCATATGACAAGGGCAAGTAAATTTCCAATGTTTTCCGATGACAAAATCTACACTCATTATTTGCAATGCGAGGTTTGGGCTTCTCAATAACCTGAATAAGATGAGAAAACGAAGTGGGCAAGAGAGGAAACCGAGATGTAGCAAACAGAGACTGAGACGGAGGAACAATAAAAGCAACCTTAAGATAAATCTCCTCTACAATAAGTTCAGAAACCACCCTGTCAACAAAAGGCAAATGTGACCTCTGTAGAATAGCATCACAGAGGGGCTCAAACTGATTTTGGAGAGCCATAAGAAACTGTATCAATCTTTGCTTTTCCCTGTACTAAAGATTACTGCTTGACAACTACAAGTTAGAAGGTTCCATGAGAGCCAACTAGTCCTAATATATAGATATTTCATAATGAAATTCTTGAACAGATTTGTTCCTTTCCTTTTGCACACCGAATGGACATCTCTAATTCATATTGCTTAGCAAAATTCGACTCAAGATACAAATTCCTCAAATAATCCCAAACTTCGGTGACACTGTCATATTTAGAAAAAATCATACTTATGTTTCGTTCAACAAAATTATGCAACCATCTGAGGACTTGGCCATAATCCCTTTACCATGTGTAAACAACCACGTGATAACCCTTGGCCTTAGAATATGTGGGTCTACACGTTGAGCCAGTCAGATAGCCCCATCGGTCCTTTCCAAGGATAAAGTTCTTGAACACATTGGACAAATACGAATAATTTTCTCCATTCATATGAATGCTAATGGCTTCCAATTTATCTTCAGACACAATTCAAATCAGAGCAAACAATTACATCACTAAGTATATATACCAAGACCTAAAATCTAATTAGGAAACAAGCAACTAAACATACTAAAGTGCCCTTATTCTTGGAATAATATTACAACTGCCGGTATGCTTTAATCATTATGAAGCCTTCTCAATTGCTTCAATGCACTCTAACACAGTTGCCTTCTTCGACATTGCCGACATTAGGGACTCATGAATTACCTTGTTATTTTTTAAAAGGGATCCAGCAAACAAAACCTGCATTATTTCCCCCCGGTCATCAGCATTCTTCACTAGAAAACATTGTGTAATGATTGCTGAAAAAAAAAACACCATTTTTTTCTTATTTTTTTCAACCAAAAAAAAAAAAAACAAGAAGTGTTGAGTTTATATACCTACCCTTGAAACAGAAGAATTTCTAAGTCAAGATTGTAATGCAAAATGCAAGTAAAACATGTGAATTGGTTGCATGATAGAAACACTCACAGCCCATCTGGTAAGATTTTGCTGCTGTTCTTTGCTAAGCTGCGGCTTGCTCCTGTTTATCAACCTCTGGGAAGAGAAAAGGAAATTATTAAAAGACCAAAGGCCAAGTAAGATCTATATACAACTTGACTTCAGGCCAATAATATTTACAAACCTGAAGAGTGAAAAGATCAGCAGATTGACCGACCACTTTATCATATTGCAAACCTTCAGCTGCCAGTCCAGCCACAGCTACAACTGCCAACCTGAGAAAGATAATTACTCTTGATATCATCTCTACTTATAAATAGTGAGTCTCAAGAATTCACGTCATTTTGATATAAGAAACCTCAATCTTAGATTTAACATTTTAGTGACCTTATAAAGTTGCCTTTTTGTGCCTTTATGCTTTAACATTTTAGTGACCTTATAAAGTTGTCCTTTTGTGCCTTTATGCTTCAACAGTTGGTAGAAACTTGAATGGATATTACCTTAGGGAATTCAGTTTGTCCGACACAAAATGGAGAGAACATTGATAAGGCTTGTATGGAACCAATCAAGTTGTAAGAACTTAGGAAACATGTGAAATAGAAACTTTCTTCACATGCCAACATGAAACTGAAGAATAAGACATGATCATGGTTAGTCAATCTTTCTAACCCACAATTAGACTTTCGTAAGGGGTATACTAATTTTTACACGGGAAAATATCGGAGTACATTAAAATAAGAAGAAGAAGAAAAGAAAAAGAAAAAAAGAAAGAAGAAGAAGCGTAACTTATCTCTTATTTGTTTTAGAATTGCTCAACAACAGGAAAATATTGAAGTACATAAAAATAAGATAAAATAAAATAAAGGCTTAACGTATCTCTTATTTGGCTTATGCTAAAAAAACTCCAAGTTGGTGAGAAACCAACGAGCTAACACAACAGAGTAAGAAAAGAACCAAAAAACTAGATAGCTTAGGCACTAGATCCCCAAAAACAGGACGGATGATACAAGAAGAAGCGTAACTTATCTCTTATTTGTTTTAGAATTGCATAACAACAGGAAAATATTGAAGTACATAAAAATAAGATAAAATAAAATAAAGGCTTAACGTATCTCTTATTTGGCTTATGCTAAAAAAACTGCATTAAAATTGCAAGAAAACTAATGACATGCCCATTTTGTTAAAAAAAGAAGCCAAGTTTAGAATTTTGTGCAGAAAACTCCAACAAAATCATGTGACAATAATATTTTTGCACTTATGAATCACAGTGATAGGCTTCTTGTTTTCCAATGAATGGACGTGAATAAGGCATATATGATTATGTATACAAATTTTTTTTGTATAGCATAACCCTCATCTATACCTATGGCCATTTTTTTATTGTCTTTCCTCATTTTAGTGGCACCTTCAGCTTGAACAAAGTCTCTATCGCACTTGAACTGAAGGAACAATGGCAAAAATAGGGACAGGCTCAAGATGTTATTACATTAATATCGAAGCACGCAGCACTACCAATGTAAACTAAGACCTCATACATTTCACCCTTATGAACTTGATGAACCAAGACATACAGTGGTGATTAACTGAGGAAAAATAAAAGTTGTGGAGAAAGAAAAGACAAGCCACAGAGTGAAACTGGAGTTATGGAAACTACAGCTATCATACTTGTACCTGTCCAGTTCCTTTGCATCAAGCTGCCCACTGTATATGAGCTTTTCCAGCTTTTTGTCAATGAGATTAACATGCTCTTTCCCAATATCCAAAGAATATCCGAGTATTGGAAGGCCAAGCAAGTAGGCAACTGAAATTCACAGGGTAAGTTTTGTCAAATCATGCAACCCCAAATGGAGAAGAAATTAAAGAAGAGATGGAAAAATCACATATATGAAAATTGTTAAATAAGGTGATCTTGCACGAAGTTGGTATAACCATATGGTAAGTCACGGTGCCCATGCATGATACTGAAGAGCAAGGGCAAGGAATTTGGAGTATCAAATTTTAAAAATGATCCTAACAAATGCTCAAGAGCACCATAAGACATGGTTACTTAACTAGAAAGCCACCATTTGATTTGAGTAAATAAGGTGATCTTGCACGAAGTTGGTATAACCATATGGTAAGTCACGGTGCCCATGCATGATACTGAAGAGCAAGGGCAAGGAATTTGGAGTATCAAATTTTAAAAATGATCCTAACAAATGCTCAAGAGCACCATAAGACATGGTTACTTAACCAGAAAGTCACCATTTGATTTGAGAATCATGACTCACTCCTGGCATTACAAAATTTATCAGCACTTCAATTTCTCCTTTCTTTAAGATGTATTTTATACCTTGAAATCATTGATATGGTCTTAAAAGTAGTGTTTACCCTTAAACATTTGATACCCTTATGATGTGGTATTTTAAAAATATGAAATACTATATATGTGATTTATTATTAATAGTTTCCTATTTACATACAGTTCTAATATAATAGAGTCAATAATGAACAATCCCATATCAATTAATCTAGCAATTTCCTTCCTACTCAAACCCTTTATTAAATTAAAATTATTTATTTTTATTCTGAAATTTTTAAAATTAGATTTTTAATTATTTTTATTAGGTTCCCATAGCTATACATATAATTTTTTTTTTAATATTTGATTGTTGTTTAAAAATAATTTTATTACCTAATCAATTACATAAGTTAATAAATATTTATTTTTTACTATCTTATAACTTCATATTAGTGGAAATTTCAAGGAACAAAATAATATCAACTCAATGGGAGAATATTTCAAAATTACCAAAAACGTGAATGGAAAAACAATAATTTCAAAGACATGAAAATCAAATTTTTGGGGTCAACATTACCCTTCCCATTATGCCAACCCCTTCTCTCTCATCCCCTTTCTTTACACCAGCCTCCCCCTCTCCATGCCCAAATCCCGGCCACAACAACCTTGCACAGCCAGCTTCCACCATAGCCGCCATTGCTCCGTCCTCCACCACAACTTGCTCCACCCTGACAACCCTCTCATTCACCTATAAAAAAAATCCAAAAAAGCCTAGCCCCCTTTACAACCATTGTCTTTCACTTGAACAGAGGGGAGAATAGAAGAGAGAGAGAGAGAAATCCACTATTGTCATAGCCTTCGATTTTGTCCAGATCTGACAGCAGCACGAGGATTTAGGAGAAAACTCCAGATCCAAGGCGGCACAAGCATCTGCAAGGAACCCATCAGGAAAACCCTAGATGCACAATGGCTAAAGGAACACGATCTGTGAAAGATCCAGAAGCAGAGACACCATCCAAAAGCTGCATGAGGAACTCCAGATCCTCCAAAGATGCGTCAACAGGCTTGTCAATACTTTTTTTCCCCCTTTGACAATCCTTTAATAATAGTTTGAATCCGAAAATCACAAAGTGATTTAATTGCATGAAAATGAACCTAAGCACTAGTACTACAATGTGCATCCAAAACTGCACATGCACATGGATCAAGAAAGAGAAACAACATGTACCATCTCTATAGATATGTTCCTAATGTCATAATATTGTAATAAAAGAGTCCACGTCGTTTCACCTATTCAGAGATAGAAGTTTGTACTTGGACGAATAGGTCTATTTTTTTAAAAATAAACTACAACAAAAAGGAAGATACATTGCGCTACTCCCCATTATGCCACTGTAGTTTCAAGTGTTTTTATGCAATACTAGCCATAGTTTGTGTTTTAAGCCCAACAAAGAGAAATTACCTAAGAAATGAGCTGCTTCATGTCTAGCAATCCTATCCTGGTAATCAGGAAAAAGTGATGAAAATCCACCAATGGCAGCTTGAAGAAGCCTATATTAAACATGTAAAATCATCTTTAGAACAAGGATCCCGAAATTCTTTGTCAGCCCTCAACTGTGCTCTTCTTCAATAATTCATTATACAATTTAAAAGTGCCCAACTGAGCTAACAATTATACAATATTCTGATTTAAACATCATGGTAATTCAAAATTGAAAGGTTTGTTGACATATTCAAGATAGCCTGTAGTAAGGAAATAACGTAGTTAATGCCTAACAACTTACCCAGGTGGAATGCTTCCCACAGCCAAAACTACTAAAGAAATGCTCTCAATCAAGTATGGCACAAAGAAGCCCCAATCCTAAGTGACAATTACATGTGGATAAGAATGTTAGTAGATGTGAAAATGCCTCAATTTCCTTCCATTTTCTTTACAAAAAAAATAAAATAAAATGTATTAGTCTGACAGCCTAACCATAATACATATTAGTGCAAAACAAATATCTTTATTCATTACCTAGATGAGTTGAACATTAAAGATATTAGAATCATTACTCACAATAAAGGAACTAAAATGTGCCAATCATAATAGAAAAATGTTCCGAACCCCTTTTTCCCCCACTCCCTTTGACCCCCTCTCAACATGATTGGCTAGTTCTTTTTTTTTTTTCCTCCTCCTCCAATCACCACCCGCCACGTATGTGTGGGGTGGTGGGGGTGGTGATTGGAGGGGATCTCTATCAAAGCCCATCATAATATATAGTGGACAACACAAAGAAAATGAAACAGGTCAGTGACCCAATGTTCAGGGTAAAACTATATCCACGCATGAACAGGTGAATACAAAAAAGGGTTAATTACACGAAGACCCCTTCAACTATTAAAAAATATCACTTTACCCCTTTGATCTATAAACTCATCCATTTCGACCCCTTCAACTATAAAAATGTATCACTTTCACCCCCTCCAGACCACCTCTAAAAAGGTGTGTATTTGTACGATTTTCATGGTTGAAGGGATCAATATGTATGGGTTCATAAATCAAGGGGACAAAGTGATACTCACCAATAGTTAAGGGGGTCCTCGTGTAATTAACCTTATAAAAACTATCTCATATATTATGTGAGATACAATACAAAAACTTGTAGCTTGTATTTGTTATATTTCTATAATGTCTTTAAAACATATCAAAAGTCACTGAAGCAGCCATCTGATAAGAAAGGAATGAAAGAAGCTTCTATGAGCATAATCCACAGCTACAATTGTACTTCCTTTATCCTATGTTCCTTGAAACTTATAGAAAATAAACAATAGATTAAAAAAAGAGAAATTCAGAACTCTACATAATATGAATTTGAAATTATTTCTTATGATAGTTTATTAATGTTTATGAACATCTACAGAGAAAGAGGATATTATGTGAAGTTACCCCAGGAAGCTGACCGGCAAGAACACCCAAAAAGCCTGTTGTCCCTACCACCGTAAAGAGAAAAGCTGCCTGCATCACTGAATTAAATCAAATTCATGGAGAATATAATATTTACGAATTATGATGGTTTAAGTCTTGCAAAAATAAGAAAAGAAAATCAAATGGAAGGCACAGGTGTCATCAAATTCTAGTCTTAATGCAATATTAGAATTTCAATAATTTCAATCCCTCAGAAACTGGTAAGAGGACAATAGAACAAAGAATACATGTTGAAAACTGGCAAAATATATTGACATCCCGATGCACAGTGTATCCTGTTGATGTTGGAATAAGGTAAAATGTTGTCCTGTTCAGGTTCTTGCTCCAATTTATGCCACAAAAACTAATCTAGTTTTTTAGCAAACAGTGGTTTGGAATCTTTTTTCCCAAACACATGTTGTTCTTAACTTCTTTTTCTCTAACTAGGTCGTTTCATCAAGTCATGCTTTCAGAACACGATTTTAAACCACGTGGAAAACTCAAAACTCATCCATTACACCAAATAATTAATGGTAGTCCCAAAAAATACAGAATGAAATTTATGTAATGGTTTGTATGCTCTTTTATTGTTACAAGTTAAACAAAATATTTAGTGCAGTGCAACTTACATCATTTCTAACACTTGGGATTGCCAGGTTCTCTGCGTTTTTAATTCCAAGAGTTGTCAGCTCCCGAAGAGAGGTCTGCCGCATAAATTTGAAACAGTTAAACTACATATTTTGATACCAAGTACATTAATTAATAAAGTTTTCAAAGCAGTAAACAGAGGTACATTATTTATGTACATTTATGCATAGATTTGTAGACGTGGCTAATGTTTGAGTTGCACTTTCCCAGAACTTCACACTTGTTATGGACACTGACCATACGACATGATACATATGGTTGAGAACTCCATTTGTTTGCCCAACCAACTTCACTCAGCTGATCAAGTGCCTCTTTGACAGCATCACTGTCTTTCTGCAGCAAATCATAGAGTTACGTTAGTAAAACTTCTATGCATTGTCATCAGAGACAATATACACTTTTCCCATAGCTTGTTCTAGATGTCCACAAGAATGCCTTGTGCACTAGGTAGAACTTTAAGCATGTCTTTCGGTGTTCAATATCTCTTTATTTTGGAGTAAAGAAGTTTAAGTTTAAATAAAAATTAAAAAAATAGGAAACATCTCTTTTGCTTTCAGTAATATCTTACTCAAACTGATAGAAGTGAGAAAACAAATGTTTAAAAAAATACAAGAATAAATGTCCAACTCTGTAAGCCATCACATTTGTAAACCACTGTAATCACCCAATTCTAGACTTGCACAAACTAATTGATATTAGCTCACCACTACCAATAGTGCAAAGGACTCAATATAAATAGAAAAATTACTAATGTAATAAATATTTATCCATCTAAAACTAGTTCAACTGATGCTGTAAAAATGACAAAAGAACTCATGCAACACTATATGCCTAAAGCTTCCAATAAACAGTAACAGTTTGCTGTTCAATTATAATGTTTCAGAGCTTTTGACTATTATTTTCTGATAAGAAAAATTTTATTGACCCAAAAGTGAGCCACCTAGAGGGGAAGAACATTATACACTCAACAGCCAAAACCTATAGGACATAAATCAAATGGCATGCACAAATCACCTAGGAACTCTGCACAATAGAGTCAACAGAAAAGGGCAGTCAACCAACGAGGCCTAGCTTAGTTGGCCACCCTGACTCTCCTAAGGGCTTAGTACGAAGGGGGAGGTCATGGGTTCAACTCTCCCTAACGGGGAGTTGAATTAGGAGGCAAGCAGTTTGTACTTTGCAATGGTGTTGAGGCTAACTCTCATAGGTGCTATTCTATAACTACTAACAACTAACTTTTGCTAATAAAAAAATAAAATAAAAAAACAGAAAACAGCAGTCTCTCAATCATAAAATATAAGGAAAGGAGTAAAGATCCTTTCAAACTACAATTGGAAGCTTGACACCATCAAACGATCTCCTATTTCACTCAGTCCATATTGTCTACAGAGCACATAAAGTTGTGGTCTGCCAAGCCTTCCTCTCCGATCTCTTAGCGCATCTAGAGGTCCATAAATCAATAAAAATAAGGCATAACACAAACTATACCAAAAATCTGAAAATTAGGTCCACTCACTTGCAACCAGACAATGAACAAGGTGATTCACTAATTCCACCACTTGCCTACACATGTAACATCAATAAATAATCAACTTGCATCTTTACCAAAGGTTATCCATGGTGAGAATGAGAATAGCCTGAAAAGAAGTTCTCCAACCAAAGAAATCAATCTTAGGAATCTTATTCCTCTATATACCCTTCCAAGGAAAAGAAGAATCCTAGTCACCATACATATCCCAGTATAAAGACTGAACTGAAAAAACTTGTTTAGAAACTCTCCAAGCTAAAAGATCATGACCACCACTCTAAATCTCTGAATTATAGGTCTTTGTAGATTGGAGTGCCCAACCCTTGAAAGCCCTCTGAAACTGTGGATTCCACACAATGCCACTCTAAGACACCTCTAAATAATCCCCCACATTCACATAAAGGTCAGTGGTTAACTGATTCAAACCAAGAAACACCTCCTAAAGAAGTCTGTAACCACACTCTGGATCTAACCAGAACCTCACTCTTCTCCCATCACCCATCTTAAAGAAAATCCTCTAAGAAAAATCAACCAACCACTTCACGATTCCTTTCCACAGAACCATCCCAAAAGGCCCCCAATAGCTATTCGATTAGACCAATTACCCAATCCCTCCCATACTAGTCCTCGATAACCTGTACAGAAAAATTGTATTACTATGTCATGTTTTGGTTTTTTTGTTTGTAATTGCAAAGGTAGCCACCCTTCCAAAATACTTTCAATCCTCACCACAATTTATTAAATTAGAAATGTTTATAATTCATAGTTGTGTTTGATTGTCACTCATCGTGGTTGCTTTTAATTATGAATTTGGTGATATTAGATTATGATATATAGTGGTGGTAGTTATGAAGCAAGTACACAAATTCATTTTTTAAAATTCTAACGGTTAGAAGTGGAGATATGCACTTTTTTTTTAGGGTGTGTACACTTGGTATTTCTTAGATTTTTATACGTTTAGGCCCAAACTAACGCTATGTTTTTTACAAAGAAAATGATATATTGCCAAAATTTTCTTACAGAATTTACTTTCAAAATGATGCTGAGGTGACAAACATGTAAATTATGTTTACATAGCACTAGTTTTTTCGTTTGTATAGCACTACTTTTGTACAATATTTTTGTTTGTATAGCATTACTTGTTTAACAATATATATAAAAAAGTATATCCATATAATCCTATTTTCTTCTGATTTTGTGTTTTGTTTTTGACATATAAATCTATCATATTATTGACTGAGAAATTAATTTGCGAATTTAATGATATATATATATATATATATATATTCTTAAATCTTGGTTGAAAGCCTCCAATTTATGGATCCCCAAGCTACACTTGTGAATAAGAAAACACACCTATATTAAAAGGAAGCAGCTTGCCTCCAGTCCGAGATCGGACTGGACGGTGCTGTTCGGCCCATGGGGCCACCACGGGTCCCGTTTTGAAAATCTGAACCGTCAATATGTAGAACTCATCGAGTACTATATGCATGTGAAAAATCACGTTGATCGGATATTGATAGCTATCTCATCGGATCAATTTTTTCTCAACCGTTAATTTGTTCACCGTCCATTTTTTTTTTATACAAAACTGATTTGATCACATAGCTATCGATATCCGATCACGTGATTTTTGACAAGAATATAGTACTCGACGAGATCTAAACATTAAACGGTTCAGATTATCAAAACGGGACCGTGTAAACCTTCACGGGCCGAACAACACCGGACTAGAAGCAAGCTGCTCCCATATTAAAAACTAAATTTTTGACTTTTTCCACTCAAAATAAGTAAAAAAAATTTTTTAGCTACCAACCCACTTCTCAAAAAGCCCATAAAGTTAAAAACTCCTCCCCAAAGAAGGAAATCCCTATGAAATTTCTCCAATCTCTAAGACATTGAGCAATGAATAATGAAAAAGAGACATCAAATAATTGGAAAGGCTTGAAATTGGAGATAAAAGAGGAACCTTGGCAATGGCTGATTCGAGAGTGGTGAATTGGACGCCAGAAGAAGCAGTGGAGGAAGCTCTGATCCGTCATTTCCTCAATTCAAAGGCCAAGTTCAAGTGTGTACTACTACTACTACTACTACTACTACTACTAGTACTAGGCACATATAGAGATGCAGAGGAGAGCGACACAGACATTGACATTGTCTTCTTCTTCTTCTTCTTCTTCTTCTCTATCTGTGTCTTGTTGGTTAAGTCGATAAGGCTGGGCGTGAGGAGGGAGCAGTTTGTTTGGATATACAATCCCAACGACGTGGAATCTGATTTTCCTTGCAATTCATTTAATTTCTCATCCTCTCTTCTAGGGGCATTTCCCTAAATAAGCCAAAATAGTAAGTCAATTCCCAAACTAAGCCTAGTTTTCAAAGAATTTCCAAAATAGGCTAAATCGCGGTTGTGAACCACGATTTCAACACATATACGCCTCTCTCGCGTGGAAGTGGGGAAATCTTAAAATTGTGGTTACAAAACACACTTTTGATTAATAAATCGCGATTACAAAACGCGCTTTTAATTAATTTTTTTTCCCGTTGAACTCGCTGTTACAAACCACGATTTTATCCAAAAAAAATTTTGTTCTAAATTTGCTGTTTATAACCACGATTTTATCAAAAAACATTTTTCTTCTGAACTCGCTTTTCCTAACCACGATTTTATCAAAAAAAATTTCTTCTGAACTCGCTTTTCCTAACCACGATTTTATGAAAAAACATTTTTCTTTTGAACTCGCTCTTTCGAACCACGCTTTTTTGGGCAAAATTATTTTCTTCTGAAATCGTGATTATGAACCACACTTTTAGCGTAAATTTTTTTTTTTGGTTTCTGTTGTCATTGTTTTGGTGATAATGTATTCCAGAATAATTTTTTGGATTACAATTGTTTTACTAAAACCGTTCTCATGTTAATTTTTTTTTCTTTTCTTTTGTCTTTATTTTGGGTTAGAATGTGTAATTCAGCATTTTTTTTTGGCTTGACTAAAGTAAATTTATTTTGTTTTTTCTTGTGTTTGTTTTGGGTTAGAAGGTAATAATGTAATTCATAAATTTTTTGAGCTTTAGTAAAGCCGTTTTGATGTAAATTTTTTTTTTCTTTGTTTTGGGTTAGAAGGTGTTATTCAGTAATTTGTTTGGGCTTTAATAAAGCCGTTTTCATTTAAATATATATATTTTTTCTTTTGTCTTTGTTTTGGATTAGAAGGTGATAAGGTAATTCATAAATTTCTTTTCGCTTTACTAAAGCCATTTTCATGTGAAGTTTTTTATTTATTTTTTTTTTCTCTTGTCTTTGTTTTGGGTTAGAATGTGTTATTCAGAAATTAGTTTTGGCTTTACTAAAGCCGTTTTCATTTAAATAAATTTTTTTTTCTGTTGTCTTTGTTTTGGGTTAGAAGGTGATAATGTAATTCATAAAACCTTGAGGAAAAAACACATAAGTCTCCCACAAAAATACATAAGTAGTACAGACATAAGTCTCGGACAACAATACATTGTGGACACCATGAACTGAACACACAATACATAGATAAACATAACAGTTAGACACACAAATATTAGCCAGACAATCTGACAAACTCATTACGGAAACACTTACTCTAACACAGACATTACATATTAATGCATGACCTAATATCGCCGAAGTGTAGACATTAACACCTAATTCGCGCTTAAATCGGTAGGTGGCTCAGAGTCTGAATAATCCGAAAGCTCAGCGTTAGAGACAAGCTCAGGATCCTCCATGATACCCTTGATAGCCGCAACATTTGGTTCTGTTCTGTTCTTCTGGGCATCGTTCTTAACTATGTGTAGCATATCGCGGGCTAACCTACGGCCCATTTGAGAAATCTCACGTTGTAGTCTTTCACATAGTCAATCAACATTATCAGGATCTTCCTTTTGGATCTTAACAGAATGTGCTTTTGGTACCTTTAGTCGATTTTCCCGACATAATCTTTCCATTTGCACTCGCTCTATAAATAGTCTGGGCCACTTCAGAAGTCTAGCGTTTGCTAAACCATATCCTGTTTGATTATCTGATGGATCCTCCACCAAACCAGATGAATCTCGATAGTACTTGGGCATGACAAAATGTCGCTTCCCAAACCTATCATGATAAGCACAAGGGGCATCTAACAAAGGAAATGGTGTTTCATCTTCAGTATCGCCACTTCGTCTTCTCCCTCCTCGTCGTGAACTGTCAGCCCTTTGCAAGTTCCTACCACCTCTGCGATTCTCACTCCCTCTCATGAACCGTGTAGCCATGCTAATTTTTTAAAACAAATGAATGATAATTTCGTAGGGCGAAATGAGTTGTAAGGTTGTGTCTTCACCTTTAGTTGTTTATATAGTTGGTTATGAATGGCTTTAGAAAGATGCCTCTGCATGACAATCCCACATATATGAACAAGGTATGAGTTGTCACTAGAATGAAAAAACAGAGTAAAGCAAATACTGTGTACCAAGTCACGTGACTTGACAATCCATCTGCATATACCGACAAAGTAAGGGCATGCTCACTGTAAGGTAAATCAGTGAATTTAGTTTTAGCATGTGACTTTCTGAATTGAGAATCCTACATATATCAATATAAGATGAGTTGTCACTGTAATAAAAAAATTGAGCAAAAAATTGAGAAAAACCAAAGCCTGATCAAGCTCCTTTGTTTTGCCAGTTTGACTTCCTATTTTGATGAGAAGAATGCTTACATCAAATGAACAATATTTTGAAGAAAAACTCCATGACAAGTTATTTTTTGCTTCACAATCCTGACCAGCATAGCTTGTTTGTTGTACTATACAGTACCCTAATCCAATCTCTCCTCTTCTAGAAAATTGAGTTCATTTAATCTCTAGGCTAATAAAAAGGAACTTTGCATTCGAGTTGGCCTCATTAAATAAGTACCAACTCTCCTAATTATATTGAACATGTGAAACACTCAATCAGGTTGGATTGATTTGATAACGTCTAAAATTTTCAGCACCTTTGCTTGCATAAAGACATCTTGCTGCTTAAGACAAGTTTTTATTTAATATTTTCAGGTTTTAGTATCAAAACTGCCGGACAAGGGAGTTAACATACAAAAGCAAATAGCCGAACTGAAGTCAGAGCTTGATATGATTCGGATGGAAAAAAGAAGAGAAATGGAAGTCATTCATTTGGATGATATAGCAGGGGAGCTTCAGAGGGTGTTAAATGTGTAGATAACTGAACAAGGTTTGGTCTCATGAAAAACAGTTTGCATGTTATTTTTGTCTGGTAAATTGAGAAGTTAAGTTGTAAAAACTCTTTTTTACCCGGTTAACTAGAGATGATCTAGTGATGATAATGCATGATGGGGCACTATGGAAGAAGTGATACCCGTGATATTATTTTATGTTATTCATTTCATGCACTCCTAAGTACCCGTGACTTTGTGTGTTGAGTAGTATTTTTTGCTTCTTTTTATATTCGGTAAATTACACTTTACTCCTTCAGTCCATCACATAATTGTTTATCAACACTATTGCCATGTGGTCATATTGATGTGCCATGTGGTCGCAAAGTCAGAAAGTCACATGCATTACTGCATCACTGCACAAAGTGACATGCATAAATTGGTGTTGAGGTAAATCTGTTTGTGTATAATTAATTGTAAATAGTGATTTTGACAAGCAAATCAAGTAAAACCAATTGGGTTTTAAATTTAGTTCCCCAACTGGACCAACCACTTGGCTTTGAGCTTGTTTGTCCAGCCCCCCAAGTTCAGTTATCTGTCAACCCCTAATTCCTTACCACAGTCATCATTTTGACTGGACTTCCAGGAATTGGAAGGCGACTCTTTCTTCTTTCCCGATGGAGATTGAAATTCGTTACGTACAGGATCCCTATTTCACGACCCCTAGTTAAGGGAAACTTTTCACCGAGCTACCTGTTCTGTTTTATGTGTTGTTCAAGGTGGTAGTTCGTTTGTATGAACTTTATTTAGTTCCCCAACTGGACCAACCACTTGGCTTTGAGCTTGTTTGTCCAGCCCCCTAAGTTTAGTTATCTGTCAACCCCCCATTCCTTACCACATTCATCATTTTGACTGGACTTCCAAGAATTGGAAGGTGACTCTTTCTTCTTTCCCGATGGAGATTGAAATTCTTTACGTACAGGATCCCTATTTCACGAGCCCTAGTTAAGGGAAGCTTTTCACCGAGCTACCTGTTCTGTTTTATGTGTTGTTCAAGTTTACATCATTCAACATACATTAATCCATTCATTAATCCAGAACATTGCAATTCAATAAAGAAAGCCATGAACTAATAAATGTGCAATTATAAATGTAGTTATTTCATAAACTTCAAGTTCATAAAACAAATACTTGAAATACATCCATATGTTAGATGAACAACAACATTGTCTTACACTCCAG